TCTGCCATAAAGCCCCGACTGGTGGAGGGCTGCAGTGATGGTTGACTTTCTACAACTTTCTCCCATCTCCCGACTGCATCTCTGGAGCTCAGCCACAGTCATCTTTGGGTTCTTCTGTACCGCTCTCACCAAGGCTCTGTGTTTTTCTGTCAATATGGGGTGCTGTGTGTACATTAATGAGGAAAAAAATGAACTTAAATGATTTTAGCATATGGCTGCAATATAACAAAGAGTGAAAAATTTAAGGGGGTCTGAATACTTTTCGTACCCACTGTACCTTCTTTTGCTAGTGAAACATCACAGTCTTATTTCTTATCTTCAAAGTTTCAGTTTCAGTACTCCTCAGATGACTTGCACAAAGAAAATAACTTTTGAACAATCTCCACTGTCCACTTCTGTGTGTGTGCTATGCAGGGATGTTTTTCTCTGTTTGTATTAGACCCACAAAATTATGGCTGAATTTTAAACCATCTTTGAAATTAATTAAAATTGTAAGTAAATTCATTTTTACCAAGACAAAATAAATGGTTTAAAATTGTTATGAGCATTTGTGTCATTTTACTTATTCTAAATATTTGTCTTGTTTAATTTGATTTAAAAAAGTTTTGATTTTTTATTTTATTTTATTGCTTTTCCTTCACCTACTTCTTGTTGTTGCTACTGTTAATCAACATTTCTTGTCCTTGCAGATCCTACCACATTTACTTGCCCTGCAGTTACCCCTGTGTCCCTGCCATCTGTTTCACCTGGCCTCCCCACCCACCTGCACACCTGCTGTTCACCCCATTCCTGTGGCCATTTGCCATATTGTCTTTGCACTTGTATTGCTTTCCAGGATGCTTGCTATTTTTTTACCCACTGGATCCTGACTTTTGCCACATTTGTTTGCCTTTTCTGACTTCCTGGCTGTCACAGACAAAAGGCTTCACATTAAATCTGACTGTTCCTTGACAAATCAAGACATGGCTACCACTGACTGAGCTCAGTGTGGAAAATGAGGTCTGATTGCACAGCATGAACACCTTCCTAAATGTCTCAGTTGTTGTCTGTATGAATGCCATAATTTTTCTGTCTAGACATGAGTCAGAGCTTCACTGTGTGCACCCTGGACATGAGCAACAGTAAGTCCAATAGAGCTGACAATGCTGCTTGCCTGGTTACAGAACACCAGATGAGGAAAAAAGTAAAACGGTGATAACGCTTGCTGGAAAAAACCTTTAACCAAAGAAGAGTGATTCTTGGCTTGATTTCAGTGGTGTAGTGGGGATTAAGAAGAGATGAACCTCCTGCTGTAGTGAAAAGAACAAGAGTCCGTTGAGTACCTGTGACAAATCTAGGAAGTTTGTGGAAACTCTTTCTCCTCTTGATGCAGGCCAGGACATTCACATGATGTGAACACAAAAGCAGTCAGGAGAGGTATTAAGAGTCTACTCTAGAGATTGTCTTGAGGCTTTCACTACATTTCCCTCCTGAACTGTTGCTTTCAAGTGAGGCTCAAATGATTCCATCTATTTAAAATAAAACACTACATTTGATGAAAAATCAAATAAGCTACCACTCTAGCCTATTATTAATTTTCTATTAATAAACTGGGTTATAAAGTAACAGAGAATATTGAAAACATGCAAATCATAGTTTCCCAAAAATAAAGATGCTATATTTACATAGTTTGCAGTCAAAAAATAAATTAAGTAAAAGAGGGAGAAAAGTAATCACATCTGAGAAGTGAGAACCAATAACATTGTTTGGGCATCGCAGTTTAAAAAAAAAAAGACAAACGGAGAATCATTTAGGAATTTCTGGCATTTTGGAAAATCCAGATATCCTCTTTTCTCATGAAAGTTCCAGAGATGTCTCACGTCTGTACAAAAAACAGAGCTAGGATGTGGTTAGTTTAGCACTTCTCAGCACTTCTGCAGCTTACTAATTGAAATGCTATAGTTTTGTTAATGTCGTTCCCTAAAATGTGTCCTTTTAAAGCAGATTAAACATAATTATTTTGTAATTATTAGAGGTGATAGTAGATAGATGTTTTTACCTTTGGACAGGACCAGGCTAGCCATAATCCCTGTTTCCAGTCTGTCATCTGACATGAGAGTTGTGTGATATCAATGTTCTCATCTAAGACTCAATAGGAAAGCTGATCAGCATGCAGTATTTCCCAAAATGTCAAACTAGTGCTTTGAGGACATTTATTTAAAGAACCGCCCCCTCTTTATCCATGTCTATCCATGTTGCCTTCCACAGTGTGTTTAGGTGTGTGTAGTGGTCAGATAAGTAGGCAGGGGAGCAGACAGGCATGAGGGATGAGGAAATCAGAGTGGAAGACACTTAATGAAACAATGCCCCTCAGGTCATTTGTGCTGGCTGTGTCAGAAATTTATTACTGGGCTTAACTTGCCTTGATCACAAGGCCAAATAACCTCAAGGAAATACATGCATGTATGCATGCAGGCACACACAAAAACACGTCTGATAAAGCCTATTCTTACCATGGCAACAAAGGTCCCACTGCTATGCTTGTATGTCAAAATATCAAGATGGCGCCACGTATGGACATCTCGGCAACGGGCTCTAGTATGTTGCTGTTTTTGTCTTTTTTGATAGTCTCTTGCAACCCATCTCAAATTGCCTTCACCAGAGACAAGCTCTTGAACATCCGACAGCTCACTCTGAACACCTTTTCTCCTGCCTGTACAGATGGCGGAAGTTGTTTGGACATTTTGACTGGTGGAGCAGCAGTGATCCTCAGGATCTACAGGATGCGCCACAGGGGACAACGGGCCGGTGTCCTATTACGGCTAACACAGCAGGGCCTCCAAACTCCGCTCCCAGCTATAAATCTACCAAAACCTCCGCTCACCAGCCAATAAAATGGACAAACTTCTCATCAACCAATCTAATTCTGACTTCCCATGATTGGCAGGATTGTGCTTTATCAAGATGTGGCTAAATGACTTAACCCCAGATGAGGCAGTTATACTCTTATGTTTCCAGATCCACAGAGCAGATCAAGTGAAGGAACTAACTGCAAAATCAAGGAGGGATGGAATCTGCTTCTACATACACAAAGGCTGATGCAAGGATGCCACAGTGTTAGCAAAAACTTGTAGCAAAACCAGAGCGAGTTGCAGTGACAAAACAGAATTTACAGATGTTATGTGAAAAATCCCCTAGAAGTAAACATAAGCAGTTTGCAAATGCCAGCTCAAATGTGCTCATCAAACTGCTTCTTTATATTACTAGCGGTGCAGCAATGATAATTC